AATTGTAACTTTCAGATTCATTCAATGAAATCATGAGCAAAGCTCCTTCTCCCTGTTTCTGCATTTTCAAAATGGTATCAGAGCTCTCATAGAGCTCTGGTACTCAGCTTCTAGATTTTTCTTTCGGTTTTCTTCTTTTCTTCTTTTCTGCCATGGATCATGCAAATCCTGGTATGGATTTTAATACAAATCCGTCAAATCCTCTATTCCTCCATCCAAGTGAAAATCCATCGTTGATTCTGGTGAATCCGCCATTAACAGGAAATAACTATCATACCTAGGCTCGTTCAATGACCGTAGCACTTCTGTCCAAAAACAAGGTAGGATTCGTTGATGGAAGCATTATCACTCCTCCACAAAATGATGCAAGTTTTTCTCAGTGGCAACGATGCAATACCATGGTGATAACCTGGATTCATCGTTCTATATCAGAATCCATTTCAAAGTCCATAATCTGGATAGAAAAGGCGCGTGATGTGTGGCTAGATCTACAAGAGCGTTTTTCTCAATCTGATGTGTTTCGAATCTCAGATCTACAGGAAGAGATCTATAAGCTGCATCAAGGAGATTGCAGCGTGTCTGAATTCTACACAGAACTGAAGGCTATGTGGGATGAGCTTGAGAATTTGAAGCCACTGCCTGCATGTAGTTGTTTTCCTCCCTGCACTTGCGGTGCTTTTAGCAGAATGCGAGCTTACCGTGATAGAGATCACATGATTCGTTTTCTGAAAGGATTAACTAAACAATACGCTGCGGTTCGATCTCAGATTATGTTGATAGATCCATTACCGAATGTTAATCGTGCTTTCTCCATGGTGTCACAACAGGAGAGGCAATTTGGTGCTGATAATGGAGGAAATACTGGAAATAATTCATAGCCATTTGTTGCATTCAACAATAGCAACAATGCTGTTGTAAATGATACTCGTAGCAATAACAACTTTACTGGAAACGATATGCGTAGAAGTTTCAACAATTTCCATAGTCCAGGAAGAAATGGCAGAGGACGTGGTAGATATGGAGGAAGAGGAAATTGAATTTGTACTCACTGTGGAAGGACGAATCACACTATTGAGACATGCTACCAACTTCATGGATATCCACCTAGATTTCGCACCAGATATCCTCAATCTAGTGCCAACGCTGTTGTCCAGGACAATGTGATGAATAATACTCAATCTGGCATGACTACCAGAAATGAGTTGAATTCTGGCAATTTCCCACAAGAACAATACCAACACCTGGTTTCTCTTCTGCACAATTCTCATAACTCTAATGCAGCAGCAACACAACCTGCACAACCTGCATCCAATGCCAATACTGTTCTTGGTCACGCTGTGAATATTACACAGATTGCAAACACACACACACAGATCCCTCAGGTAGTTTCCATACAAAGTGGGTGATAGATACTGGTGCAACTGACCATATATCTCATGAACCTTTATTCTTTTGCTCCCTCCATAAAATTGAACCTATATGTGTTATGCTTCCAAATGCATCACATGTTATATGCCACTTTGCTGGTACTGTTTGATTGTTGCCCAACCTCACCTTAATTGATGTTTTATTTGTACCAGAATTTTATGTGAATTTAGTATCTGTTTCCAAACTGATTCACACCCTTAAGTGCCATCTGACTTTTCGTGATGATTGGTGTCTCGTTTCACAGAATCCTTCCCAGGAGATGATTGGTATAGCTAGACAGCAGCAAGGTCTCTATGTGATAATAAATGAGGATGGCATCTTGAAGAATAAGGACCTACCATTTACATCTGTAACCCATTACAGTAATAATGCCTCTACTGTATCAGAATCCAGTCTTGATGAGTCTGTTCTATGGCATAGAAGATTAGGCCATGTGTCGAATCATATTTTGCACACTATGTCATCTCTTTTTCCTTCAGTTTCTTGTACTCAATACATACAACCTTGTGACTCTTGCCATTTAGCTAAGCAAAGGAAATTACCATTTACTTCTAGTACCTCTGTCAATAATCATATTTTTGAAATCTTGCATGCTGACATTTGGGGGCCATTTCATATACCATCAATCTACGGTCACAAATATTTTTTAACTTTGGTGGATGATTTCTCACGATTTACTTGGGTTGTTTTGATGAAGCATAAGGGTGAAACACGTAGCCATATCCATAACTTTCATTCACTAATTGCCAATCAGTTTGGTACCTCTATTAAAATCCTAAGGAGTGATAATGGAAAGGAGTTTTTAATAGCTGATTTCTTTAAATCAAAGGGAATAATCCATCAGACCAGTTGCGTTGAAACACCCCAACAAAATGCCATTGTGGAACGAAAACATCAGCACTTACTTAATGTGGCTCGTGCCTTAATGTTCCAAGCTTCTCTTCCTCTCAATATGTGGTCTTTTGTTGTGAATCATGCTGTTCACTTTATAAATCGTGTGTGTACTCCTCTGTTGAACAATTTGACCCCATATGAGAAACTTTATGGCACACCCCCTTCCTTGGTTCATTTACGTGTCTTTGGATGCTTATCTTTTGCCTCTACACACTCATCCCACCGTACCAAATTTTCTCCACGTGCTAGTAAAGGAGTTTTTGTTGGTTATAAAGATGGAACTAAAGGATTTTTGATATATGATTTGGCTTCTCATGCATTCTTGGTTTCACGCAATGTTGCCTTCTATGAGCATATTTTCCCATTCAAACAAATACCTCATTCTGTACCTCCGGTTATACCAACTTTGTCACGTACTCTTCATGATTTTCCTGATTTCTATGATTTGGTTTTCCCACTTACTGATCCATCCAGTGTCCCCATTAATTCCAATACCTCAGATACTTCTTCCAATCCTACTTCCATCACCTCCAATTCCCCAAACACCACACCCGTTGAGTCAGAGACTGTTATTCCTCCCACTCACACTACCCTTCGTCGTTCCTCTCGAACCCGTGGTCCTCCTTGCTACCTCATTGATTATCATCATGGTCTTTCTGCTGTCACACACACTCAATCATCTCCAGGTACTTCACTTTATCCCTTATCTGATGTTATTTCATATACATCCTATTGCTCACCCTATAAATCTTTTTGCCTGAATTCCTCTACTCATATTGAGCCCCGAACTTATTCACAAGCTGTTGGTCATAAGGTTTGGCAGGATGCAATGCAGGTTGAGCTCAATGCTTTAAGCCATAATAAGACATGGTCCATTGTTGAGTTACCTCCCAATAAACAATCTATTGGTTGTAAGTGGGTCTATAAGATCAAGTTTCATTCTGATGGCACTATTGAGCGTTACAAAGCCAGGCTTGTGGCCAAAGGCTTCACGCACGCGTTTTCCCCTGTTGCTAAGCTCAACTCGGTTAGAACCCTTCTCGCCATTGCTGCGGTTAAAGGTTGGCACCTTGCCCAGCTTGATGTGAACAATGCATTCCTCCACAGTGATCTTCATGAGGAGGTCTATATGCAAGTTCCTCCTGGGTTACAAACCTCTCATCCTAACCTTGACTGCAAACTCCACAAATCCTTGTATGGATTGAAACAGGCGAGTCGTTAGTGGTATGCTAAGCTTTCATCAGCTTTGGTGTTGTTGGGTTATACACAAACCAATTCTGATCACTCTATCTTTGTTCGTCACACTCCATCAAGCTTCACAGTGTTGTTGGTTTACGTTGATGATATCGTTCTTTCCGGTGATTGTCTTAAGGAAATTAATAGAGTGAAGTCTTACCTTGACAGTGAGTTCAAGATCAAGGATTTAGGAAGTTTGAGGTATTTCCTAGGCTTGGAGGTTGCTCGTTCCAAGTCAGGTATCATTGTGAATCAAAGAAAATACACACTCGAGCTCCTTTCTGACGCTGGGTTGTTGGCTGCAAAATTTGTTTCTACTCCAATGGATCCCTCGTGCAGGTTATCTCGTGCGACTGGCTCCTCTCTCACTGACGCAACTCCTTATAGACGCCTTGTTGGTCGTTTACTCTATTTGACCACAACGCGTCCTGACATCTCATTTGCCGTTCAGCAACTCTCCCAATTTGTTTCATGCCCCACTGATGTTCATATGGGTGCTGCACTCCGAATTTTAAAGTATTTAAAAGGTAATCCAACCACTGGGTTATTCTTTTCAGCTACTTCTACTCTTCATTTTAGTGGTTTTGCTGATGCAGATTGGGCATGTTGCCCAGATACGCGCAAGTCTATCTCAGGGTATTGTGTGTTCATTGGTTCTTCCTTGGTCGCTTGGAGAGCTAAGAAACAGAACACCATTTCGCGTTCCTCTTCAGAAGCTGAGTACCGAGCTTTAGCAAGTCTCTCATGTGAGTTGCAATGGTTGCAATACCTGTTCATGGATTTGTGTATTCCATGGGCCAAGCCAGCTTCGGTCTTCTGCGATAACCGTTCAACAATCTATCTTGCTCACAATCCCACTTTTCATGAGCGTTCTAAGCATATCGAGATTGATTGCCATGTCACACGTGAGAAGATTTCTTCTGGTTTGCTTCGGCTTCTCCCAGTCAGTTCCGTTTCGCAACTTGCTGATATATTCACCAAACCCTTAGCTGGTCCTCGTTTTAGTTTTATCATGTCCAAGATTGGGCTTCTTAACATCCTGCGCCCATCTTGTGGGGGGGTATTATGGCAGACTAAAGAAGAAAGAAAGGATGCAGCTATTGAGATGCACTTTGCTGCTACAAACCATGACAGATAGCGTTTAGTTATTCTGTTTGTTAAGTTTGTTAGGTTTTTGAAGTTTCCCGCTTCTTTTTAGTTAGTTAAGTGTTTGTTATTTTTGGTTACTCTGTTAATAGGGTAATGTATTCATATATATATAGGACCAATTGTAACTTTCAGAATTATTCAATGAAATCATGAGCAAAGCTCCTTCTCCCTGTTTCTGCATTTTCAAGATGGGAAGAAAGATGAATGCAATTGTCTAGTGTATTAGGTTTCTCAAACTAGGTAATTTGATATAGTAGATTATTTTTGGATGTGGTGTGGTGTCTCTCAGGTTGGAGATTTTAAGCATAAGAAGATGTCTCTTAGAATAAAGGCAGTGGTAGATAAGTTTGTTGAAGAGTTGAAGGAAGCATTAGATGCTGATATACAGGATAGGATCATGAAGGACAGAGAGATGCAAAGTTATATTGAAGAACGTGAGCGAGAGGTTGCTGAGCGTGAAGCTGCTTGGAAGGCTGATCTTTCTCGTCGTGAGGTACTACCTACACACACATTTCTCTCAATTTCTTCATTTCTTTTTTTTTATAAAATAAAATAAAATTAATGTGCATTTTTGCATTTCCTTTACTGGATAGATGGGCAAAAGATAATAATGAAAAAAGAAGAAGCAACAAACCTGATCTCGTTTTTGTAAAATAGCATATATTTGTTACTGCTGGTTGAATATTCAACTTTTTGGGCTATTATAGCTGCACCCCCTCCACACATTGAGTATGGTTTTCTGTCATTTACATTTACAAGACTTTTTCTTTCTTTTTTTAAAGAAGGAATTGTTGATAGTCAAGTGGAATTAATTGTGTTCTTGATACGTTGGAAATGGAAGCTATGATCTCTGACTCCATCTGAGCTAGTTCCTGGTGGAGTGGAATTGATTATTTCTCATTTTTATTCATACTAATACTGAATAATTATTGAACTCTCTCCCCTTCAATGTTTTCTCATTTACAACCATTCAGCCAGTCACTGCTGAGAGAAGTTGAACCCAAATTATACTGTTACTCTTACTCTTACTGTAAGGTTATAGTCTATTCGCAATAACTCATCAAAAGTGCTAATGGTTGAAATGCTTTTTATGATTGATGAGATATAATGAGAGTACTGTTGCTCCTATTTTAGTTTGTTAGATAAAAGTTGTGTTATATTCCTTGTATCTGCTAAGCATTATAGTCATTGTGCATGATTATGGCTTAAATCAGTAGGTAGTTCCCAATTCATCTAAAAACGAACAAAATGGGAATGTTACCGTATTCTATTTTTAAATGCTTTTCTGTAGATTCTTGAACTTCTGTTTACTTTGCGATGTTTTATAATTTTGTTGAATTTGTTCCCTCAAACTTCTATTCACAAGGATGGGGGGCAACTGCACTATACAATATTTTTTCCTTCACTACTGTAATTTTTTAATCATGTCCCCCTCTCTGATAATTTTACACTCTATATGTGATTAAGTACGTATTTTGTACACCCTCCTAAAATTTTCTAGTTCTGTCTGTGGCATCCTATGATCATATGGATAAATTTAAAATGTTCAAGGAAGTAGAGAAAGGAGAAAGTAATATAAGTAACAATGCCAATATCACTTGACTTTACATTTGGTCTAGAATCTAGATGTAGCTCATTTTTTTTATTTCTGAATTGTGAGCATACATTACTTTGGTAAGTATCTGATATTACCTTGCAGGCCTGCTTTACTGAGAAATGATTGTATCCTGGATGAGTACTGATTTTCTTCTTTAGGTGAATAATTGACAAAGTGAAATGCAGTGAATTAATTTGAGGTTGATGGTACCAGATAGTTTGATATTGATGCAATTTTAATGAACTGCTTCTGAAATTGAAAAGAGAAAGCAGAGTGGGTTTTAGGCACTCACTAGTTATTATACGGATAAATGATTCTATAACTATCACAATCTGAATAAAAGATGCCTAATAGCCCCCAACTTGGTCTACTAAGTGTTTGATACATGATAAAACCCTTAAAGGGAGTGATGGCTCAACTAATGATTGTGTAACAAATCTAGAGTCTAGATATAAACAAAATAGCCTCTTGGAATTTAAAGCTAGACATAACAAGTATAACTGAAGAAGTTGCCTCATGGTAGCTTTTTAGAATTCAGAAAGAAAATCATGGAAAGCGAGAGAAAGTTAGAGAGAAGTTTCTGGAGCATTTATGTCATTGCATGTAAGAGAAAAGAGTAAAGTTAAATTTGTGTTCTGATACATGCTCCATAGCAATGAGTCACGAAGCATCTCATAACACTAATAAACTGAAATCAGTTATTTATCCTAACAATTAATGAGCCAAGCTCTACTGTACACAGGAGTACAGTAACGCGATACATCACTAAACCTAAAGGGAACTAAAGTAAAGTTACACTAATATTGCAAGAACAGAATAAATATGTAATTTGAAGAATGAAAATAAGAGTTAAGAAGTGATATAGTCAGCCTTTAGAATTTGAATTATGCCCTGATACCTTATCTTAAAGTTCAAATTCCATTTCCCTTTGAATCTGCCTTTGGTATTTTGTTGCAGTGATCGATGTTCTTGCATTCAATAATAAGATGCTCACCAGATGTACCTTTCTGCTGAATTGGTTTCTCCTTGCTCTCGACACAGCACTTATCTAATATTCAGTTCTGTGTAATAACTAATAATTTGCTTCACACACGTTCCAGGGAACCACTTTTTAATGTTTTGTAAATATTTGTGCTATATTACTAGTGAAGCAGAAATGTTGTTGCATTTTTAATAAATAAATAAATTGACTTAGCATTCTAAGAATATTTTTATTTATCATCCTGCTATTAGATAAAGTTTTTCCTGTTTAGTGCTCCTCAATTTTTTATTTTTTTTGTTCCAGGCAGAGATTGCTCGTCAAGAAGCAAGGCTCAAGATGGAGAGAGACAATCTTGAGAAAGAGAAAAGCGTCTTGATGGGAACTGCATCAAATCAAGATAACCAAGATGGAGCTCTTGAAATTACAGTAAGCGGTGAAAAATACCGTTGCCTCAGATTTGCCAAGGCAAAAAAATGAGGCTTTGCCTGGGGTGACATGAAGGAAAAGTAAGTTCTACACTCCCCAACCCCAAATGGGGGCTAGTCCTGCTGAGCACTTGCATGCAATGCCAAGCTCAATTCATGTACATTTGTTGAAATTCAACTGTTTAGTTGTGGTTTATTATTCCTCTCAGATTTGAGAAAAGTGTTGGTAATTGCTCAATTGAATTGTTTATATGAAAATTTTCTGTCATGATATTGGTGCTTTTAGTTGAAAATGTTTGCAACTTATTTTTTTCATTGAAAAAAAAAATCATATACAAAGTTATAATACTTTCCACCTGGATGTAATAGTGAAGTTAAAAATAAGTTACAAGAATTTGAACATGTTGAAGGTTAGTTTCGAATTAAATTGTATTAAGAATTTTACAAATCAAACCAAATCAAAATGAGGATCGAATCAAACTAATCAAAATAATTAGTACACCATCGACTCGTTAAAAAGTAAAAACTTTGGATCCCTTTCTAGTAGGAAGAAGCATGGTTGTCTAATTCTTGTAACTTGTGACATGCAGGAAAAACCCAGTCTTGCTAGACTAGCTAGTACTATATCTGATCATTAAATCATATACTTGCGTGATGTTTTAATTCTTGATGCAAAAACTTCGGTACATGGGTGATGGGTAATTCACATTATAAAAGTGGTTAAAGTAATACTCATCGCAAAAAACTCACATCATGCTTAGAATAAGAAAGGCTTATGATTTGTAACTGACTAGGACATAGCTATGATAATACTATGGCTTTGAAACAGCACCTTAACGTAAGCTATTTAACTGAAATTTTTAAAACTTATTTTTTTAAAGAATTAATTCAACCCAAAATTATATTTTAAGCCCTTAGGTGAAATTATATATATATTATTTCCTTTAATATAGTTAGGTGCAGTATTGGATCCAGAAATTTTTGTAATAAGTGGCAAAAACTAAGATGGATTAACTAACATAAATACACTTTTGAGGAATAGGCTGACTATTAGAATTAATAGTTTGTTATTAGTAAAAAAAATATCATTTTATACATATAATAATAATAAATATCAAAGTTTGGAGAGGAGTGACTATTGACTGTCGCACCTCCGTGAGTTGGCCACTGGTTAGGTGGTCTTTTGAAAGGTGAATTATGTGTAGGTTTTATTTTTTGGATTATCATGCACATTAATTTAATTTTTTAATAAAAAAATAAGGACGTGAAGAATCAAATTTTAAACCTTTTGAATTATATAAGTTTTGATACCATATAAAAAACTAAGGGTTTTATTTTTCATCTGTCACATAAGACAGATCCGTTTCCTGCACACTGAAAAATAATACTGGATCCATTTAATTTTTTTTTCTATCTTATTTTGGTAGGTTCCATTGTTAGTTTGTGAGTATGACATAAGAGAGAAATTTTCCTACAAAATGAGACTAATAAACCCCAAAAACTAATTGAATCCAAAAATATGTGAAAACATAAATATAATTTTATAATCTTAATAACCTAACCATTTTATGAGAAAAATATTATCTGTGTATCATGAAGATATCCCATCTTAGACTAATCTTCAGGATGGTATCCTAAACACGCGCGTGCTACAAGTCGCGTATTTTCACGCATGACCTCCTTGCGAGCATTAGTACATTATTTTGATAAAATATTTAGAATTTGAATCAATTTGGAAAAAAAAAATTCCACTCTCCATACTATGATCAAAAGGCCTTGCTATTTCCATTCCACCACAGAGACTTCATCTTTACCTTGTGCGCTTGACTATTTGAGTATTCACGCACATACTATATATGTAACCATCAATCAATCATTGCTAGCCTGTGCTTTTAAAAATACTTTTTCTAAAGAAAAGTGGTTCAGTTATACTTTTTTTTTTCCCCTTCATTTTCTTTCTTGGGGTTCCAACAGGTTCCCACTGAACCCCATTGCATGGAGACAATTCATGTCATTTTCAGCTCACTATTAGACTACTACTAAGTAAGGCCAAAGTTGTACTCCTCCATACAGTTGTCGGTGCAATGCCCTTAGTGGGAATTGCATTTCATTTGTGCACTGTGGTAGGGGATATATAGGGGTGTGCAAAAAAATTAGTTTACTTGTCTTGTCCTGCCTTGACCTGACTTATAAATATCTATATTTTTTGAACTGGTTTAAAAACTGATCCACTTTTATTTGGGTCAGTTTTAGACCTGACTTGTTTTAATATTGACTCATTGACCCAAAATTTGACCCATACCCATTATGTGAAAAAAAAGAAAATTACAATTACATTAAAAGAAAAGTTTTAACGTAAAGCTATCACGTCAAAATTTTTTACAGAAAATACTTTCCTAAAAAAATTTCGCAAAATTTTTTGACGAAAAGTATTTTTATCAAAATTTGTGACTAAAAACATTTCTGTAAAAAAATTTGACGAAAATTTTTTTACGGAATCTAAATTTTTTCAAAATATTTCACAGAAAAATATATTCATCAAAAATTTCGACGAAGCACAATTCCATCGAAATTTTTTGACGGAAAAAAATTTCATCAAAATTCTTTACAGATTTCAAATTTTGGCGAAAGTTTTCGACGGAAACGTTTTCGTTAAACTTTTTGACAAAAAACAAATTTCGTCGAAATTTTTAACGAAACAAATATCTATCAAAAAATTTCGACTAAATATTTTCAACAAATTTTTTGATCAAAAATATTTCCATCAAAATTTTCAACGAAACACATTTCTGTAAAAAAAATTCGTAAAATTGGACAAAAAATATTTCGATAAAAAAATTTGATGAAAAAAAATTGTGTCAAAATTCTTTAAAGAATCTAAATATCGTCAAAAGTTTCGAACGAAACATTTCCCTCAAAACAATTTCCATCAAAAAATTCGACGAAACACATTTCCATCAAAAAAATTTGACGGAAAAAAATTTCATCAAAATTCTTTACAGATTTCAAATTTTGTTAATTTTTTGACAAAACAAAATTTCGTCGAAATTTTTATCGAAACACATTTCCTTCGAAAATTTTTGACTAAATATTTTCGTCATGTTTTTTGATAAAAAATATTTCCATCAAAATTTTCAACGGAACACATTTCTATAAAAAAATTTCGTAAAATTTTTTGACAAAAATATTTCGTTAAAAAATTTCGACGTAAGTTTCATTTCCCTCGAAACAATTTTCGTCAGAACACATTCCCATCGAAATTTTGAACGAAAAATATTTCGTCAAGATTTTTGACAGAATTTTTTTTCGTTTGAAACATTTGATGGAAGAAATCATTTTCTTCAAAACTTTTGACGAAAACTAAATATCGATAGAAAATTTATTTTTGTAAAAATTTTCATTAGAGAAAAATTTCGTCTCTTTTCGACAAAAAGTATTCCGACGAAAAATAATTTTGTGACGAAATTTTCGTTGTTCGCAACGTAAAATTTTTGACGAAATTTTGTGAGGAAACTAGGTCAAAAACGGGTCAGGTCAGATTTGACCACTTCAGAAACCAAGTTAGACCCACTTCAGAAACCAAGTCAGTCAGATCTGACCCAGTTCTGAACTAGCTCAACAAAATCCAAACCAAGTCAGGCCTGACTTGGATCAAATTAAAGCGGGTCAGGTCAAAATACCTGACCTATAAAAATCAAATTGGGTCGAGTCGGACAAAAACCTGACCCGACCTGACCCATGCACAGCCCTAGGGATATATGCATGTGAAACAAAGTAAGGTGTCAATATAAATACTCACATCACCGTTAATGAACAGTGGACGACCATAGATCAATTATTGAACCTTTATTGCTCATTCTAGCGAATCATTACTCATTAATTACTTACTTTGATTATTGCATACACTTGAACTCATCTTTCTTGTAAAGCTATACACCTATTAGTTCTTCAATTTGTGTAATCTGTACTTTAAGAGTACTTAGTCATTCCTAATCACCTCTGTAAAGTCCCACATCGGTTGGAGAGGGGAACGAAGCATGCCTTATAAGGGTGTGGATACCTCTTCTAGTGTGAGGCCTTTTGTGGGGTGTCCCAAGAAACAAAATCGTGAGCTCGACGGTGCTTGTGCGCGGGGCAAAGCGGACAATATCATGCTATAGGGTTTGGGGCTGTTACATTTGGTATCAGAGCCTGGCCCTGGACCGGTGTGTACAGCGGGGACGCTGTATTCCCAGTGGGGAAGGATGTAAAGTCCCACATCGGTTGGAGAGGGGAACGAAACATGCCTTATAAGGGTGTGGATACCTCTTCTAGTGTGAGGCCTTTTGTGGGGTGTCCCAAGAAACAAAACCGTGAGCTCGACGGTGCTTGTGCGCGGGGCAAAGCGGACAATATCATGCTACAGGGTTTGGGGCTGTTACAACCTCAATCTTCTTGAATTGATAGGGGAGTGAACCCTTGTGTAAGTGAAGGAAAAGTGTTAGCATCCAAGTGACCAAAGTCTTGGAGAATATTGTAGTGGTTTGTTGAGCACCCTTGAAGCTCAACCGAATAGTGAAAGTTGACAAAGCTTCAGTTTGGACGTAGGTCACAGTGGTGGTGACCGAACCAGGATATATCTCGTTTGCAATATCTCTAACCTTTATCTTTGCATAAGCATTGTTAGATCATTTGAGCATATTTAATATATTGTCAATTATTTACTTGAGTTATTTATATTATTTAGTCTACGTGTGGTAAATTATTTGAACTCAAGAAACTCGTTTTCAAAAAGGAAAGTGAGGCATTTTGCGAAAATATTTTTAAAACTCAATTCACCCCCTCTCTTGAGTTTGAGGCCACTTGTCCAACAATATGTCCTAATCTTCGATGCCACAAAATAGAGGAATCTTCATTCATAACACATTGTTTAATGCCAAAATTAACATGCATAACATCATGAGTGATGTCATTTTGCAAATTAATATATAAAAGATCATCAGACAATGTACCATTCCTAATAATTTTAGATTAATAAAACAAACTGAAAGATATTTCATAAGATAGAAAGGAATAACCAAAAGGTACAAGTCTTGACACTGAAATTAAGTTCTTAGAAATACTAAGAACATAAAAAGTCATTTCCAAATTCAAAATAAAACCACCACTTAAAATCAAACTGCAGGTCCCAATAGTCTCCACATGTGAACTCATCTTGCTTCCTGAATAGATGCATAGTTCACTTCCCATTGGCTTCCTTAGGTTTTCATACCCTGCAAAGTATTTGAAACATGGATTACAAATATTTTCAAAATCCTAGCAACGATTTACAACGTTGATGTATGATCTTCCATCCTCAAGTGTTATAATTTTCGTAAGAATTTACGTGTAGCCGTGTTACCTTAAATTTTGAGCTATGATGTATTCATTTTCAAAATAATTAATCATATTTCTCAAAGTTATTTTCAAAATTTAAAATCAACCAACACACTAATATTTTTTACAGAACGACGAAGCTTTGAGTTTCTTATTGCATCGACGGATACGTCGGAGCAGGACTCATAGTCGGTGAAACAAATTAAGGGTGAAACAATTAATAACCAGTCAAGCTCAAAAATCAATTTTCAAAAATTAGTTTTCTTTTCTTTAATCAATTTTGTTTAATTTTTTGGGGTGAAACAAATATGTAAAATTTCATCAACAATTTGTACTATTAATATAAGGTAACTATTTTTTTTAAACGGACGATACAAGGTGTTAACACCTTCCCTACTTGTAATCGACTTCCGAATCTATTTATGTTTCAAAGGCCAAATTTTCAAATAAAAAGGGTTTTTTCAATGTTTTTCCAAATAAACCTTGGTGATGACTTCATTATTTTTTTAAACTTTTAATTTTTCACGGTCACGTTGCGATCCAGTTGCGACACACACTTAAAGTTTTTTGCCCATCTCGAAAGATGTGTTTGGTGTGAATTTTCTTACATCTCCTAATTGTTATTTTACTATTCTCTCTTTAATAAATATTTTTTTTATGATGATGACTATTAGAAAAAAATAAAAGAAAAAGAATAGGAAGAAATAAAAAGTGACGGGGAGAATTGGGAAAAAGAGAGTTAATTTATTGTTTTTTAATAAAAAATCATGAAAATGTAATCGTTTTGAAATTATTTACGCAACTATAGCAGTCAAACACACTCCACATGGGCGTGACCGGTTGGAGAAAGACACTCTCCATTGGGACGTGTTTCACCAGGTGCTACCATGTCGCATAAAAGTAAAAGTTTGACTAATTATTGTCAATGCATAAGCCATACTTAATTGTGTTGTCATATTCAAATCTTGGTTTGAAGGCATAATATAATATAATTTACACAGTATCCCCTTTCATGCATGAACATTTCAGGCCTCTCCTTGATATCAAGTTGGTCCCCACACAAGAAAGCAAATCTTTCATGATTAACTGAGAAGTATCAAGACAAATTTACACAAATATATGTCAGTAACTGTTCCATTTTATAGTCATACACAAGGTTCTAGATTGCAGATTGAATCACCCCGGTCATACACTACGTACCTTGTCTGCTCCATTTTGCTGTTTGATATTGACATTATGAATCTTCTTAAGAGTCACAAAGAAGCTCCATTAGTCCCTCCCTCTGAGAAAGTGCACGAAGATTTCACCCATTTTAACAAAATGCCAAAAAAATTAAAGGTTCTAACCACATATGTAAACATAAGAACACTCCAGATATTTTAATTGAACATTAAGTAGGGGCATAATCAACTCAATTGAACTCCATTATTAACAACTCTTATATTCCACAATTGCCTCTGCAAAATGCAAACATGCAATATATATATATATATATATATATATATATATATATATATATATGGGTCATGATCATTTTACACCAGTGTAAGTTACACTCTTAATCTTGTCCGTTGATCCCATTCATATTTAAGGGCTCTGATTTTTTAATAATGTGAGCCATTAGATACAAGTGGATCAATGGTCAAGATTGAGTGTAAGACTTCTAACTCTTACACCGCTCTTACACCGGTATAAGAATATCATGCCCCTATATATATATGTGTGTGTGTGTGTGACATCTTAGACTAAATTTATAAGCTCGAATTCATATTTATATAGCTAGGAGAAAAGTGTAATGTGGTCTTTATGGTGAAAATTGATCTTGTTTCACAAGAGTTTGAATCTTTATTATCTGTTTTTCTCATGCGAACAATGTCTTCACATTTTTATCGTTTTAACCAGTGTAGAACTTGGCTGACTTATGCTTGCTGTACAACTTATTAAAGTATTTCGGCGTAAGCTTCTATTTATTTCATGATGAGTACACCAAAGTACATAAAATTTCTTCTACCCATCACATTTACATTAAAAAAAGTAACTCATCTATTTGCATTTATTTTATTTACTTCTTTATGTCACATAAATCCAACTGATATATAATTTTAGTGAAGTATCTTTTTTTTTTATGAAATTTTAGTGAAGTATCTACTACTGGAGTATTGTAGATTTACTCCAGAATAAAGATAATGTTTTTACTTTTATGGACTTATAAGATATTTGAAACTAAATTATGGTTGTTTATGGTGATTTGTTATGCATATTTTGCCACCCTTTTATTGTCTTTGTCAGGGCAACACCATGCAACATATTCGATGCATGATGTATTTTTTTTTTTAAACTGATCCTAATTACTTCTTTGAGGCGAATCAGAATCCCCGGTATCTCCATGAGTTCGACTCTTTGAGTCGCCTATGGGACTAATCCAGAGTTCGGGTGCGAGTCCAAGGATTACGGTACTTATGCCCCTCCCCAGATGGTGTTGGTGGGATTCGAACCGAGGTCATCTCCCACCTCTCAGTCCCCATGCTACCAACTGAGTCACCACACTTGGGTTGCATCATGTATTTTTAAAATGTTAGTGTAGCTCCTCTTTTTTCTTTTTTTTGTCATGCATATATGTTCAGGGAAAGATTTGTTTACAAATTTTTGCAAATTATACTATGTACTTCCAGAAGTACATAGTATAACCTAGTGTATTTTCGAGAATACATAGTGTAGTTTGTAAACCAAAAATTTGTAAATATAACCCTCTACTATATATTTTATCATCCATTTTTTGTTTTCATATCATTAGGTTATGATAGCAACAGTGGCGTAGCTACACTTATGCCAGTAGGTGCCAAGGCACCTGCTTAGTTTTAAATTCTTTTATTTATTATATATAAATATATAGTTAATTATAATTAACAAAGATTAAATTTATAATTTGGCACCACCTAAATAAATATAATTATATTTATGTTTTTCAATCAGAAAAATAAAATCCAATACCGAAACTTTTTTACCTGACCCATAAATTAAAAATCACTTTCAAAGCCCTAATTTGTGACTTACAATTGCAATTAGATTTCTCTCAACCTTGTGCCTTGCTCCTTTTTTTGTCCCACTTGTTGCACAACTTGCTTGCTCTTGCGAGGCTTCGACTGAAATAACAATGGCTGTGGTTGGCTACTTGACTTGGGGCTTGGGCGCTTGCCTTTGCAATTTGTATATCTATTAAAAATGTGTTTGGGGTTTTGTGCTTTCATGAAGGTGCTTGTGCTTTTTCTTTTTACTGAAAAGATTAGTGCCTTTTTGTTTAGGTATGGCTCATACTTCGCATGTTGATGAGGGCCCTAATTATCAGGGTCAGCAGAAAGGCAACTGGGGTTCCGCTCTCTTGGGTAAACCGAGAGACTTGTAACGAGTGGCGGTGAGGTGAATATAGTACAGCCTAAATTGGGTGAACCAGGGTAAATCGCTGTGTCTATTCTCTCTCTTTTTCTTTTCCGTTTTCGATTTGCGTGTTGTCGATTTCCAACACTTTTTATATGTCTGCTTTGATATATAATCATTGACAATTATTCATTTGAATTTTCAATATGTGACATTATTTAATACATAATTTAGATAACTATGTTAGAATTCATAATAAATTTTTTTCTTAATTAATTTGTATAATTATGATAAATATTTTGATAGCAACCATGCAACACATTCAAGACATCATGTATTTTAAAAATGTTAGTAGCTCATGTTATAATCCCCTAGCACTGCCACGTTGCATGATCCATGCTGTCTTTGACAGGGATTAACCTTTTGGGATGTGCTAGGGGCATCCAAAATGTCTGGTATTATATATGCATCACCTCGATGACGATCGGTATATATCATAACGTTGTTCTTTCCTCCATTATGAGACTGAGATGTATGTGTTCAAAATCTCTAAATGTTCGAAGTGGTTGAAAAACACAGCTAAAGCCGTCCTTGCACCATCGTGACTGAAACAACCTCAAGTTTTCAAGCTTTAGGACGTGCATAATTCGACATTTGATTTTCAATGTAGCAAAAGTTCTTACCCCCAACATGTGGTAAGATGTCTTTATATATATATATATATATATATATATATATATATATATATATAACCATCTCTTATAAACAATGAAAGATACAAAAAGAAAAACAAAACTAAAATGACCATTTCTTGAATCAATTGAGTAGCTATAGGAATATATGTACACCCTCTCCTTCAAAACACTTGTGCATGTCATTAATTAAGTATTAACCTTCATTTGTGTGTGTGTGCTACCCATATATCTATATATATTTTTTGTGGCAAGTAATTCCACATATTATACATAACTAATTGTGATAGAAATTGAAAGTGACTAATAAATCCTTAACCAAGTCCACAATATAACAACAACAATCAAGTCTTATTCCATTAAACGGGATACGCTACATGAATCAAACATAGTTCAAGAGCAAAATGTTTATAAAATTTATTCCAACAACGAAACAAGAGCTATATAAGAGTTCGAAAATAACAAGGTTCATTCATGTAGCGTTAAACATATATACTCAGATCAATGAGCAAGAGAGGGTATCTCATCGTCACGCCAAATACCCTCGAATGTTCCATAGGGTGATAGCCTAGTTGGATTATTCTCTCGCCCAATATACTTGCACCTAAGGCATCTTCCTTTACAAAAAAGAAGCTTTCTCAAACACGTGATATCCAAATGATTTCGAAGATCATGAATACGGTACACCACAACCCTTGACCTAGGATTTGGTCTCTCCACAATGAGACTATGACATATATTCACCACTTCCAAATGTTCCAAACTTTGGAGTACACGGCACAAACCTTTCTTGTTCACCATTACGGACCGAATACTCAAGAACTTCAGATTTGGGGTGCATTTAATCAAGTAATTAGCATGAAAATCTTCAAAGGCGCAAGTGAATTTCAATTCAGTGATTCTCTTGCAGTATTTGCCAATTGCTGAAAAAATATCTGCATGCTTGACCATAGAGGTAATAGTCAAGGATTCAAGTCCTCCCCAAAACTTCATTGCAATATCGATTCCAGTTTTTGATAATTGGCCTGATCTTGGTAAAACTAGTCGTTTAAGATTTGGGGTCCTGCAAAAGGAGACACACTTTATAATATCAAGAGTACATGCATTAAGTAGCTAACATGGTTTTCTTTAGAAGGTTATGTAACATAGTGCAATGAATCAACTATTCCAAAAGCTTAAATTATTGGGTGAATGCACGTAAATACTTTTATTATATCTCTAATAGATTTATATTATATCTAACATATCTTCGTGCAAAAACCCTTTTGGATTTGGACTGGAAACGTAGACAGTATACAAACCCACTAAAAATGAGGTGGTAAGGATCAAAATCTTGACTACCTGGTTATAAAAGTACTAATATCATATCATGAACCAATTCTCCCGAACAAATGAACACACATGAATAGTTTTACAGAAATATAAGAATCATGTTGTAGGAATGATATTATTCATTTCTGCAACCATTTTTTACCTATATATTTTCGAAAATACATAATTAAAAAAAATTAACTTTAATATTATAACTATGTGCTTCCAGAAATACATAATTAAAAATGAGTTGTAGTATGTCCTATAATAGGACATTCGATGCACCCATAGTTATATTTAAATTTATATTATATCTAAGACATAAGTTACAGAAGGGTAAGTTAAAAATGTTACCTTTCAGCCGCAGAGATTAAGTGCTCATCCCTCATGTAAACATAGTAGTTATATATTAAGCAGCTTATATTTCCATCGCTCAGATTTAGAACATACTTCAAGAATTGAGACATTTTTGTGCTTGAATTTCTGTCATACCAAGCATCTAGTAACTTGGGTACGCGGAAAGAGTGAGAGCTTAGTTGAGTGAGATCAAGCTTCTTCCAAAGTACAGGGTCACGACAAGCTTGGTTCCAATATTTGCAAACCAGAGAGACAACTGCAAGGTCCGTAATACTGAGGGTCATAAAAATTCTTATCAGAACCTCGTAGCAAAGAATATCATTCACGTTGCTTATAGCAGAGTTGCTTCCCTTCATTGCTTAATGTTTCCTGCATGAAAATTATTAAGACATTAAATATGTTTCACATGATCGTTTTAATAATAAAATAAAATAAAATAAAAAAATCAATCAATTGATGATATGTTTGAATTTAGCTTATGAAATAAATATTAAATGCAATATTTCTATGAATTAAGCAAAAGGATTTCTATTCCTTTTTGTTACATAGGAATAGAAAGTCCTAAATCTTAATAGAGGAACTCACCATCTATATAAGTACTGCTTATGCTATGAATGAAGTCACAATTAAAAAGATTCTTACCATATATTTTTTAATAAATGTTTCATTCAAGAAGTTACAATTACTGAGTGGAGTTTAACTTGGCTCAAACTTAGACTCGGTTTTTTATGGTCGGGTCATTTTTAAAAACCTAGATTTGACCTAGTTATAATCCAATTTTCAATCTTGTTGGGAACTTGGGATTGAACTAACCCAGTATTTACACAAAACATATAAATTTAAACATTATACAGCTAAATGATAAAATATTAATAAAAAGTAAAAAAAAAATAAAAAATTAAGAGATGTTTTACAATATAAAATGAAAAAAAGAAAAATTAGTTTTATACAGAATTATATCTAACTTTTACAAAAATTATAATCTTGAAATTATTATATAAATTTGAATGGGTATACAAACTCTAAGCATGAAAAAACCTTAACCAAAATTACACAAAGCCTATTTTTTCATAACTTGAATTCAACACAATTAACTATGGACTAAATTGAATTATCAGGTCGGATCAAGTCATGAACTTTCTTAATAAAAACCTGCTACCAAAGCACCGAAATATATTAAAAAATAAAAATAAAAATTGCTAACTTTGTGTTTTTAAAAGGCCTATATATGTTCTACCCAATGAAAAACCTCCTTGTTAGAATCCCGCTCAACAAAAATTCAATGGGTCGCTAAAATCTTGTCTTACTACCGAAAATCTTCAAATTTTGGAAATATTTGTCAGGAACTCTCATTTTCAAATGATTTGAGAATTAATTCAAAGAACACTTGGACAGCAAAAAGTAAAAATAAAAAACATTTTTTTGTGAAAAGAAATTTAGGGAAAGGTTGATCAACAAAACTCATACATATACCTATTACTAGATTCATCCTAAATGATCCACTTTTCGGCTAAATTACCTCATGCTAAAGATATCCGAATTCAAGATCAAAAGATGCAAAATACATAGAAAATGGAATGATAAAAGAAAGAAAAAACGTACTCAATGAAAAGAAACAAGCACATACCTCTTATGGCCTTATGTCACTCTCTTAGGTATGTGGTGAATAGAATGAAGACTGAACTTAAGATTATGTGAAATATATAGAAAAGTCAAGACCTTGAAATGATCAAGACTTGCAATTTCCAATGTAACGCCAATGCAAAAAAATAAAATTATTTTTTCCCTTATTAGCATAATCGCATTAAGCTGGTACTAACCATAAGTGATATAAGTTGTGTCATTTTTGTTTTTTTATTCTATGTATTCCTGGTAGTATATAATTATAACATGAAAAGTTGCTTTTTTTTTTTTCTCTCCTCAGTCACATCAACTGACGTGAAAGTGAAAAAAAAAACAATTTTTCATATTATAACTATGTACTACCGAGAGTGCATAGAATAAATAAAAAATAGAAACATACAACTTATATCCTTTAAAAGGACATACACTAAATCCTTAACTAAAATAATACATTATTTCATTACCATATATAAAAAATGTCAACCAGGGAATTAAATCTTGTTTCGGATGCAGAATTGACTTCTTTATTCACTTCCATATATGATAACATGAAATAAATACTACTGCGTTTCCTCAAAATAAAAAATGTAAAATAGTTTAAATGCAATTTATGAACCCAATTAAAGCATCTATTGACTTATAACTTTTGGCTTCAGTAACGTTTCTCTCCCTCATTTCTTCAACTTCTTTTTATCGTCATTGTCGGTCAAATTTATTTTAGCTTCAATGAGATCAGTTTCTCTCCCTCAAATTTTTAAATTATTTTTGCACGTCATCATATCTTACCAAAATTTTGCAAAAGGTTGACTTCTAATATGCAATAACAGACAATTTCTTTTTCTTTTTTTTTGTTTCCATGGGAAGAGATCACTCTGCTCGTCACATTCCTTGTTGCGTTGCCTTGTATTTTGATAAACCGATATACATATTAGCATTTGTTCCAAACTCGGGTATGCAAATTTATTTGATTTTCTATGACAATTTTTTGTGTGTTGCTTCTATGACCATCCATCATATATACTAACTTTATTATTTATATTCAAAAATAAAACTATTAGTTAATAAACTTGCAGTGTGACAAAATAAAATCTATCGCTATCTTTTTTTAAAAAAAAATATATAAAATCTCACTCTTATTTAATGAGCACTATGTTATGATTCTAGCTCTTATTACCAATGTCATTAAAACCGGCTCGATTGTTGACCCGATCAAGGTATTGGGTCACTGATTGAACCACATGATCAAGTAATTGTATGTAGAGGTGAAAGTGGGTTGGGCCGACCTACAGCCTACGGCCTAACCTTAACCTATATCAGGCCGGGCTTGGCCTATTGCATATAGTCAAATAGAACAGATTTGGGGTTTTAAAGAAGCCTATTTAGAAAGTAGGTGATAAACTTTTTTTTTACATGTGGGGCCTATAAGTCTACAGGTCGGCCTAAATCATATTATTTATTTTAAATTAAATTAAATATTATTATTCATAGTAATACCAAATGGTGATAGTTCAGTTGATGCATGTGAGCTAAGTAGGTGGTGGAAGGACTTAGGTTCGTTCCCTCACCAATACTATATTTGAGAGTGGCACAAAATCTGTACCAATCATTATAGTATCATCAGAATCAATATTTAGTGCTGGAGGAAGAGATATTAATGCATATCGTTCTAACTTGGCTGAAGATACCATCCAAGCTTTAATATACGGTGAAGATTGGCGACGTAATAGGTATGACTTGAAGAAAAAATAAAAGATATAAATTTAATCAATTGAAATTATTTTATAATTTAATTATATTAGATTAAATTTTAAAAGAAATTTGACTTTATTGTTTATTAGGAGGAACCAACATCTCACAAACATGTGAGATTGCCTATATAAATCTATTAAAAGATTTTTTGTTTCTTAATTTTAACTTTTTTGTTTCTATTCTTTATTCTTGTTTTCTGTTTTTGACATTTACAAATTGTTTGCCAACTTATGTAATCTTGAAATTGTATTTGTAGGGGAGAGAAGATGTAGAGAAGTTTTTGGTTACTACAAGCATCATGATGTGTTTGTTGAATTTATTTTTATAGATTTACATAGTATAGATTTATTTGTTGGATCAGATAAAATATATGTTATTTAGTTTGAGTATTTTTCTTTTGAAAGTGACTTAAATGCAGATCGTGATGAGTTTTGTTGTGATTCATGGTTCTGTTTAGACGTTGAAATTGTGATTTTTGTTTTAGCAACATAATTTGAGTATTTTGTGAAGTTGATTCATGGTTCTGCTTAGAAGTTAAAAATTAACAGACTAACGGGTCAAGCCAGGTCATTTGTTTTTTTATAAACAAGTCAAGTCAGGCTAACAGTTAGACTCATACTAGGCTTGGGCAAGGCCAAATTGAAAATTTTTGGCATATGCTTGGACTTTTCGGGGCAAAGCTCGGCCCAGCCCAGCTTACTTTGACCCCTAATTGTATGCAATATTCTGTACTTTGTATTAAAAAAATTATAAAATACTCAAATATCTAAAAATATGATTAAAAAATTCAAATATTTTAATATAAAAAATAATAAATCACACATTATTATCCAATAAAGGATCAAACAAAAATATAATGATCATGATACGGAGCTTCAGGTTCAGCAAGCGACATCTCTAGCTATAAATCAAATAAATTTTTTTTGTATAGTACATAATTGAGATATTATTAGTATTGTAGGTACATAACCTATGTAAGTTAATAAGAAAAAAATACTCAAATATGTCCATTATGATTTTTTTTTAACAAAAAAATTGTGGGAATTTTTTTTTGGGACCAGGCCGGGTCACTGGTTTTCACAAAAATCGATCGGGTCACACCGATTCTGATGCATGGTTGGTCCGTTACTTCACCTAGATTGATTATATAACCGTCGGGTCGAGCCGGTCCGATTTTATTAACATTGCTTGTTCCATCATCTAAAAACAAAAATTATTTTTAGAATTTTAGATTTTGAATCAATTTATTATTTTAGATGTTAATTAGATTTTGAATTTTGTTATTTTGAATATAGAAATTGAGAATCGGAGGGTTGCTCTTTTGTGAAATTCTAACTTTCTGTTTAGCCACTTTTTCTATGCGCTTTAGGCATCACTAATCCCGAATCAGCACTTAATTATATTTAAAGTTATTTTTGCCCCTTCTAAAAACTATTTGGTGAAAATCAAAACCAAGTTCTCTTCCTACCTACTATATTTCCAACTGAGCTAGGTGATTATGTTACTAATACTTTATTTACTCTGATTCTGGAGCACATTTTCAATGCTTCGAAAGTATGTACTCCATTTCCCAAAAGGAAAAAAAAGATATCGAAGGAAAAAATCATAAAAAATAAGGGTAGTATAAATATGTTATTTTTTTCATATTTGATAAAAGACATATACCGAGTGTAGTAAATCTGTAGTACCGAAAATATTTTGGTGATTCTGCCTAACCCCAATCGAGAAAGAGTTACTACCCACATGATATATGTTACTTTTTCACTATCCTCAAAATTTTTTATAATTTTTTAAATTATATATTTTTCTCAAAGAAAAGTCTTTATATAATTTTAGGAGATAAGATATTGTGTTTACATTTTTTTATACATATTTAACGTACTTTTCTTCAATACCGTTAAATTAGCATCTCAAGAAAGGAGAAAAATGGTGAAAGTTAGTTGAGATTTTAATTTAAAATTTTTGAGAAAAAATAAATAGAGTA